TTCAGCTCCTTTGCGTGAGCGATAAAGGAGATATTCATTTTTTTTTGAGTTAAGTGACTTTTGCACCCCCCTGTATATTCTATTTTTTGTGGAGATTTTTTAACATGTCACTTTCGTACAAAAAGCATTTTTGATTTTCATCAACAAATGACGGTATTGTTATCAAAATACTAAAAACACATTACACTACTCTGGAGTTCTGAAGCAATTTTATTTTTTCGAGTGTTTTGACCTGAGTACTTTCATTTGTTGATAAAACTAGGAAAACTCTTTTACCGGAATGATCAGAGAAAAACGCTCTACGAAATCGGATATGTCTCAAAAGAAAAATGCTCAGGTATCTGCATTTCTTGTGGCTGATTATTGATGGAAGTACTAGTCAAAAGAAGGTCAAGTTTTCGATTGAAGTAGATAGTGTTAGATTTCAAATGTGTCACTAATCCCATGATTTTCGAATAAAAACTTGCAACTGTCGTCTATCATCAGAAAAAAAATTAGCTCATTGCGTCAAAATACGATGGAGATATTCCATTATGTTTTGATAGATTATTTCTCAGACACTCGGTACAACTTCTCTCAAGTCAGCCAATCAATTTGGAAAATCACATTTAAGTATAACTTACTTGTTGTATGACGTGTTCCTCTATTACGATAGAGGCGACCTGTCATTATTTTCAAATGAATAAAATTCAAAAGATCTTGAACATCAATTTTTTAAAGTAGTGTCATCATGGCAACACAAATGTATAAGATTGATTGTAAGTGATTGAGTACTATTACAAATTCGAGACATAATATCAAAGAAGAAACCTACAATAAGTATTTCATGAGGCGAACCAAAATAATCAAAAGTAAGATCAATTCAATGACATTGGTTAATTACAAGCAGTTCCAAACGATTATTTTAAATATCAATAATGGACGAAAGTAATAATGCTTGAGATTTTACTTTATTTATAATAGCTAAGATTATTTCATCAGATAAATCAAGAAGCTCAAGAATATCTTCTATACAAAAGAACAAACGAAATAGATAGTATTCTTAATAGACATCTATTTTGGCTTGATAAGAAATTCGTTATTCGTATGATGTATCCGTCTGAATAACAGATAAATAAATGTACGTATGTATGTATAGATATAGTCTAAAACATAACCAATCATAAATGAGTATCAAAATAATCAATATTTCATTGAAAAATATTTTGCATGTACATCATCAAATTAAGTCAAATATCAGAGATTCGATTCAAGACTAGAGTTTCTCGATTTTCATTAAATGAAATTGCAAAAATTCTATTAAAGAATTGATTGATACTTGCCTTCCAATTGTTGCCTGGCATATTTAAAAACGAATTAATTGTTAATATATAAAACATGATAATGAAAATAATGGACTCAGTGTGACTCAAGCAATTGATTTACTTTGTGAAACTATTATGGAATAATTCTATAAATAATCAGAAATATAACACATATAATGTATATAATCCAATTTTATGTACCAATAGTGTCTTCGAAAAAGAGACGAACTCTATATGAATAATAACAACTATTAGTTAAAACAAAACACTATACAGAATCAGTAAGAATATGGATACATTTGCAAAAAGACTTGTGTCAAAGAAATTTATTGTCCATGTAGAGTATTTTTTTTTCTTTTAAAGACAGATATAGTACACGAAATCGATTAAATCCAGTTGACTTTGGTGGATATCTAATTAATTATAAAATTATTGCATATCAGTTTCCAATAAGAATTACTTGCTTGAGCCAAACTGAATGTACTATTTTTGTTTTAACGTTATACATATTAAAGGTTAATATGCTTTTAAATGTGACAGAAATTTCTAGACATAGAACTTTGACAATAAGCCGAAGGACGTGTTAAAATATACTGTGTACAAATTTTTTTTTGAAAAAATCTCTCAGAAAATAGAAAACAATTCCAGTTTTTCAATAAGTTTCATACAGAAATTGTGATTGTTGTGGAATATTTGCTTTTAAATATTAGTTTGATAAAATGCAGATCTAAGCGTTGTATTTCTAGATGGAGGTTTACGTCGAAGTAAAATTTGATGGTGTCCACTGGTGACTGTTTGCTTCTTACATCTTGCTGTGTTGATAAACAGAATACAGCGAGATTTTTTTCTATATTAAAAGTGTATATGCTTGTAGACATACTTAATGGAAGCACGTTTCGACTAATATTGTTTCAATTGTTTGTGTCAGTATGAAGAGATCAATTGAAAGTATTGGTATCTCATAAAAAGGGAAAACAATCTAGATATAGATAATCATCGTGAAATAATACGTTTTTTTATTTAATAATAGTATAGATTCACTGAAAATTGTTGATAACAATTTTGATATATATCATATAGATCAAAATTATTGTGTTCTTGAATGACCACCCTCGGTCTTTGCCGTTGAGTAAATGGCACTTTAAAAAATAAATTGAATTTTTTTTCTTCCACGTCGTCCTTAACATATAATAATAGATTAAGAATATAGGTTGCCACTAGTTTGAGACGATCAATACATAATTGTTGAATAATGTCATCTGATATAATCAATGAACTAGAAATTGATGTACATGCTTCTAATTTTAATGACAAATAACAAAGTTGACCAAACACAGATGATAGAAGTGCAATAGTTCGATGAAAATTTATTCTATTCCCTAAATGTATGTATATGTAGACCAGATAGATATCGAAGAAGATGAGCATCAATAGTGACAGGCAATCTAAAAAGATTCATGTAACTAACACTTTTACAAATGACAGTATGTTACGTACGAGATTATATTATGTGCATCATTCTCATCAATATCTCGATCTTTTGTGAAGACAAAGAAAATGGTCAAATTCCATAGTGAATAGAAGTAGTAGTTGTTTTTCTTACCTCAATTTGAAAATAGTTGAACGGATTCGATGGTGTCGCATCAACTAATAAAGTATGTAATTGTTTTATTAAATGATTACGCAATAATTTATCAAATTCATGTGGTTTAATGTCGATCAGATGTAGATGTTGAAGCAACGTTGTCTGATGATATTGAATAGAAGATGAAATGAATGACCATCCACTAATAACATCGATTAATGTTTGACGTAATGAGACAATCCGACCTTCTATCAATTTCAAGACATTTTGGCAAGGGGGAAACAGCTGACTCCATGACTCCATGACTCCACTTGACTCCACTTGACTCCACCTGACTCCACTTGACTCCACCCTGACTCCACCTGACTCCACTTGACTCCACCTGACTCCACTTGACTCCACCCTGACTCCACTTGACTCCACCTGACTCCACTTGACTCCACTCTTTTATGAAGTCTTTAGCATTAGAAAAATGTGGTGCTTTCCATTTCCCCAATCGGCTATTGAAAATAAAGAAAAAAATATGATGTCAGTAATAAAAACGACTGAATTTTTGCAGAGACTACAAGAATTATTCAATAACTGTTTGTTCAAAAAAAGTTTTTTTTTCTTTTAATATCTTATGTATTTGTTTAAAAATCAACTGTAAAATGTAAAAAAAATTAAAAAAACGACTGGCATACAAATATAAAAATCCAATACTTAAGAAAAAAGATTAGCTATACAAGAAAACAATAAGTGAATTAGTAAGTTAAAAAAGGTCAATTTCATATGAAGTCTAACTGTACAAGAGAACATTAAAGAAGTAATCGAAGAAGTACAAACAAGAAAATGTTCAGGATGTAAAAATTATCTTCTTCTCATTCTTTTTGCTGGTTCTCTTGTGTTATATGAAGGTTCTATAGTTTGAACTTTTCTTTTCACTTGTTTTTTAGTTTTTAATGATGATGATTGTTGCATAATGTTTTCATCATTATCTGTTGATATTGAGATCGAAGATACTGTGGATAAATATGAATTTGGTTGAGTTGTATTTGATGGTGGTATAATAGATATAAAAGTTGGTGATACGACTTGCTGAGGTACATTATCTGATGTTGGTAATGATTGTTGAGTATTTGTTGATGATGGTAATTGTAATTGAGGATTATTTATCATTTTTTCCAATTCGGAACATACATTACTTAAACCTTGAAGATGACGATAGAAATTTGACAATTGAAATTTTCCACGTCTTAATGTTAATGATGACCATTTTTCGCAACAGCACTTTATATCACATTTTAACGCACCACTTGGATCATTAAAAAACGAAATAAAATAATGTTGACCTTCAATTAAAGATAATTGTGATAAATTAAATTTTGATTTATTGTTTTTGCACCAGCTATTCAATGTATCAATAATATATGTTTTATGTTGACCAACTGATAAATTAGAACATTTGGTTGATATTTTTTCTGGTGAACTATTTAATGGAACAGATGATGTTGATTTTGCTATTGTTGACGATGATGATTGACAATATTTTGAAGATTTAGCTTCTTTGGCATCTTCAATACATTTCTTTTTTAACAAATCAATAAGATATTCGGTATTTCCTTTTATTCCAGGTTGTATAACAAATGTACCATCGTCTTGCATATAACCATACTTATTTTTGAAACCATCTAGACTTTTACTCTTCACGTCCATAATAGAATAAATATTAGATGTCATCAACAATGACTTTACGCAATTAATACCTTGAATTTCAAGTAGAGCTGCAGCACCATCACCGGCTTCTGCTTTAACAAGATCAATAAATTTATCATCACGTAATGACATTACATTTGATGGTAAAACAGATGTATCAATAAGAGCATCTAATTGAAACATGCTCAGTTATTATTGTTTATCGAATAAATTTCTCGAAAACGATGTATGTGAAAAGAAGAAAGTATAATGGATAGTCATCTTCAAATGACATAACTTATGATTCACGAATACAATCATCCAATATCTTTTGCAGTTATACTCTCTATATTGTCGAGATTCTTATTTTGTCGTTTTCAGCGACATTTCATCTTTTACGATAATGTATTTTTCCATAGGCTCGATGCATCATCTTATCATAAAAGGTTGTCAATTAGAATTTTTATAAAAAAAAGAATATCTTGAATATGAATCTGCACACAGTTTTTAAACTATTTTCATTGGACTTATTTCTTACTGTTTTTTAAGATAAAATATTTTAAAAATATTATTGTTTTCCTTCCAATGGATGATTCATTTACGGATGTTTTTTCTTTAAAAAACAATGAATTTTATACTTTTATTGAAGAATTAGTTGGACAACAAATAGTCGATGTTTTGAAGTTTCAATCGATAACATCTACACAAAGTTTAATTCGAAATCCAAATATATTTGAGATATTTAATATGAAATGCACGGAGCCTAATTTCTTATCAATTAGAGAAAAATCGTGTTTCCAGCTTGATGATGGTCAATTTATTGTAAAAATTGGGCTAATGAATAATCTAAATTATCTACTTGATTTCTTAAAACAGCAGCAACAAAAGAAAATAATGGAAAATAGTTATGTTGACTCAAATGTTAGTTTATCATTCGATTTTATCAATAAACATCCATTGTTAAAAACCTTGATTCTTTGGTATCAACAAGTTGGTAATGATGATATTAATAATAAAGATAAGCATGGATTTTTAAAAGATTTTATTGATACGATTACTAATAATCTGACAAAGTCGAGCAGTCGTTTTCGATATAGCGACACAATCAAGAACTTTGCTCTATCATTATATATTTTAGGTGGAAAATTAACATATGAATTCATTCGATTAAATTTACCAGGCTCTTTACCAAATTTAACTATGTTAAATACATTAATTTCGACTTCAAATGCAAAAATTAGTGAAGCAGAATTTCGATTCGACCAACTTCAAAAACATTTTGATGATCTTAATGTTCAATATGCATTCGGCTCAGAAGATGCTACCAGTATAATTAAAAAGATAAAATATGATTCAACAACAAATACATTCAATGGATTTGCTACACCACTTGATCATGGAGTACCAATTAAAGAATATTATCAAACTGATTCATTTGATAAATTGAAATTATGGTTTAATTCAAATGATAAATCATCTTTACTAAATGTCCACATGATCCAACCAGTACAATCCATAAATCAAACCATTATTCCAAGTCCTTTTTTATTATCAGCATATGGAATTGATAACACAGCTACAGCGAATGACGTATTACAAAGATGGTGGTATATATTCAACCAGTGTTTACAAAGAAATATAAGAATTATTGGTTTTTCTACTGGTGAGAAAATAATTAAATATTGTTAATTCAAATCTTACTAAAGAGTAACTGTTTTTTAATAGATGCTGATGCTAAATATGTACGTGCTATGCGATTAATGAGTGGATTTTTTGCATCTCTTCCAAATTTTCCAGTTCATCAACATCAACAAGCTTTTACAGTAAAATTAAAATCACGTTGGCCTTGGTTTTTTTTACGCGAACAACAACTATTATTATTTTTTCAAGATGCGACACATCTAGCTACGAAATGGCGTAATCGTTTATTATCGTCTACAGCTGAATTACGTCTTGGTGACCAATCGATATCGATCAATCATTTATATAGCNTGCATTTGGCTCTGAAGATACTACCGGTGTAATTAAAAAGATAAAGTATGACTCAACAACAAATACATTCAATGGCTTTTCTACACCACTTGATCATGGAATACCGATTAAAGAATATTTTCGAACAGATTCATATGATACATTGAAATTGTGGTTTAATTCAATCGATAAATCATCTCTCCTGAATGTACATATGATTCAACCAGTACAATCCTCAAAACAAAGCAGTATTCCAAGTCCCTTTTTATTATCGGCATATGGAATTGATAACACTGCTACAGCGAATGATATATTACAAAGATGGTGGTATATATTTAATCAGTGTTTACAAAGAAATATAAGAATTATTGGTTTTTCCACTGGTGAGAAAATAACTAAATATTATTAATTTAAAATTTAACAAAATGTTACTGTTTTTTTTTAGATGCAGATGCTAAATATTTACGGGCCATGAGACTGATGAGTGGATTCTTTGCATCTCTTCCTAATTTTCAAGTTCATCAACATCCACAGGCTTTTCAAATAAAAAAAACATCAAATTGGCCTTGGTTTTATTTACGTGAACAACAATTATTATTATTTTTCCAAGATGCAACACATCTTGTTACAAAATGGCGTAATCGTCTATTATCATCAACAGCTGAATTACGTCTTGGCAAGCAATTAATATCAATCAATCATTTGTATGATATTATTGATAATGAAACTTATACAAAACTTGATCATGGCTTAACGAAATCCGATGTTAATCCTAAAGATCGACAAAACTTTAGTTCCTGTTTAAAATTAACATCGACTGATCTATTTAAAATTTTAAATAATAATGTTGCTACTCGTGGAACATTGATTTATCTTCAAATATTAAAATTAATTGTTGTGGCTTTTATTGAGAAAAAAACACCTGTTGCTGAACGTAAGTGTATACATATTTACCATGTTCATTGTATGAGAGTGGAAAACTCTTTATTCAGAATGCTGCATATGTAATAAAAAATTTTATTTATAGGGCTTCGATCTGCTTGGTGTGTCGTATTTTTCTGTCGATTATGGTTTACATGGGTTAAATTGAAAACATTCGATCCAGCACAATCGAAAGATAGAAACAAAAGCAAATATTTTATTACTCGGCCAGCATATTTATCTGTAGAAATAAATGGACATAATCTATTATATTTAATTTTACTTGTTAAACAAAAACAGCTACCAGTACATGCATTACATATACATACCTTTAGCTCACAACCTTGTGAATCAATTTTTAGAAACACTCGTGCATTAAGTGGAGTTTATTCAACTATTGTCAACTTCACAGTACATGATTTTTTACGACGTGCTCAAAGATTATCATTATTAAATGATATTAAATTTAAACAGTCAAATGATATATTAGTTAATAATTTCGTATTTCCAGTTCATCACAAACATCGACATGATCATCAATCATCATTTACACCAAGTCAACGGGAGATTGATGAGATAGATATTGAACAAATTATTACTGAAGCTTACCATAAAGCTATTGATATGCTTGATGGTTTAGAAATTTTGAATTTGCTGGAAAAAAAACGTGTACTTGGATTAGATTTATTAAATGAATATGTATTTAAAGAGTTAAATTCAAATTCAAAAATGTATGACTATTCATCTCAATTAAGCAACATGGAAGAGGAAGAATTTGAAATATCTGATGATGATGATGATGATGATGATGATGATGATGATGAAACGACAGATGGTCTCAACTTAGATAATAACAGTAGTGATAACGATTCCTCTGATGATGATAACACTGACGATGACGAGCAGCATGATACTCACAATTTAATAAATACGACAAAAAAAGACTTTGTTGGAACAAAAGTCTTTGATACAATCGAATCTCATAAAAAACATTCTTATTTTACAGTAGCAATTAATGATGATACAAAATATATACATAAACAAACTGCTTGCTGGTTGTTGACTGGTGAAAACAGTAAAATTTCAAACGATCGGATACTTCGAGTGCAGCAAACTAATAAGAAAAACTAATTCTTTTTTTCTTTTTTGTAACGCTAGCTTGAATTATTTTGATAAAATATGCAACATTATGCTGACTTTGAAGTTTTCAAATGAGTAATTGCGATGAATACGAATTAAAGAAATATAATGTATATTTGTCTCTAAACCAAAACTGATTATTAGTACTTCATCTGCTAGAACATATGATAGAAACAAATAAAAAGTAGTAGAACCAAATTTTTCTAATGAATTTCTGCAGATAAACAAAAATTTTACGAGACTTTCTGTGACTCCATTTGATTCCACTTGACTCCAGATTGACTCCACATTGACTCCACATTGACTCCACTTGACTCCACATTGACTCCACATTGACTCCACTTGACTCCACATTGACTCCACTTGACTCCACTTGACTCCACTTGACTCCACATTGACTCCACTTGA